CCTCCAATATGACCGTTCATGGTCAGTGATTGGGTATGTATCAGATTTATGACCGCATATCTGATTGAAAAAAAAAAAAATCAGATTTCTGTGTCCACACTACCCTGAAAAAATTTGATCTGTGTAACATGAGAGCAAAAAAAAAAAAAGCTTTTTGTTCTTGCAGTAGGAAGAACGTGTTTTGCAATATGAAGACTTAGCCATAGTACGGTAATTAATGCTGACAGCTTGCAGATCATTTCAACTCTGACTATCTGTCCCTCTTTCACCTTCTCGATTCACATTCACACTCTCTCACAAATGTATAATAGGCTAATTTGGTATAAATAGACTTATTGGGCAGATTAAATTACCACCTTGAGGAAAGTTACAGACACTGGCATCAGAGATGACACGATTAGCTTGCAGCTCATACAGCACCTAGCAGCGATTAGAGCTGAAACACATTTCTGCTGCAAGAAAAGCAGAAAGTTAGGTCCATGGTGACATTTACATCTGATTCAGCTCAGTTTGAAATAAATGGACAAAAAAGATATTTTCCTTATTACAACCGCAATGTGAATAGGAAGACAAAGTCTCAAAAACTACTCCAGTTGGTGTGGGAATCTCCAGGCACCACTAGATTTGATTTGATTACGAATCAGAGAGTACTGCTTCGATAATAAAACGAGTATCGATGCATCACAATGCATCAAAATATTTGATTTCAACACATGATTTATTTTTCTCTCTTTTTTAAATAGGCTATAGCATATTGTATTTTAGGTGATCCATAATTAAATAAACACATTATTTTACTTGCATACAGTGTGGCTCTTGTTCAGGTCCCTTTCCCCTTCAACCTGCCTCCATACCCTTACTTTTGAACCAGGGGGTGCCAGATGGATTGTATCCATCTCCAGATGCCATCGCTTGTCCATTGTGGGATATAACCACAGTTTTATTTCTCAAAAAAAACCCCAAAACATTAAGTGCAATCCCTGCTGCTGGAATCTCATCCTCATACTTACAGCGTGAGATACAATTAACAATGCGAACATGGCGTCCCTAAACGAAAGCAATTCTTAAAACGACAGCATCCTGCCAGGCACCAACAGTGAGAAATGCTACTTTTTTTTTTTTTTGCAAAATAGACAGCGCAACAGCACCTTCTACTGCCTTAAATAGGTATCTGCCTTACATAACATATGGGATATACACACGCGTAGGCTCCAGTGTTTACATAGCCTACTGTAATATTTCCCCAGAAACGGTATGCATTTCACATTCTATTCAGTGATATATGGTCCACATCCTTTTTATTAAAAAAAAGTTAACTGCATTTATGAATTAATTAATTAAGTTGAAAGCACCTTACAGTCTCCTGTGTGTATAAGAAAAACATGAGGGGGCCACTGTGTTGTTATTTACGTAATGCCAGCAGAGGAGCTGCGAGCAGCCTCTCTTTCCGTTAGCGCTGGTGAAAGCCAGGAAACTGGGCAGGCCAGGCACTGGATTTTTAAGGTAAAACAGACTGAGCAGAAAGTTATTTTCTTCACCACAGAGGTGTTTTTATTTGGTAAATGCTGCAGCATGTGTTGTTCAGCTGGTTTACATGCTGATAGCTGCTTCTCTCATTATTTTAGTCTCTGGTTGATGGCGTAGGTAAGTATTTACAATATACCTCATGTTTGCCGCTGCAACTGGTGTCTTTTGTAAGGATGAACTTGCACATGTTAACTTAGGCTCATCTGTACCGTAGACTGTCCTGGTGCTACACTGACTTCGCAGTTGAGTCTTGCCTCTTTTGTTCCATCAGCATCATGTTATGGAAAACATTTACATAATCAATGATTGACATTTGTGAATCGATGCCAAATTGTTCATGTCCACATTGCGATGCATCTAAGAATCGATTTTTCCCCCACCCCTAGAAAACAGTGAGGAGAAAATTCATGTTGTCTAATTCTTTTGACTCAAAATCATTGTCCCGCATGCCAAAAGCTGGCTGTCTAAATATAGACTGGGATATTAGTTATGGCATTTGTTGAGCTGGTCTCTGCACTGACCTCTCAGCAACTCTGAAACTAATTTGTGAAACCACAGCAGAACGACAAAAGGGCTGTCTGTTTCAACACCTTTTACAGAAGTTGTTGGAGCAGTCACATTTTGTCATGGTAGAATTTGATTGAACATATTACTTTAGAGCACCTATGCAGGCTATTGAGACAATTTTTTTGTATGTTTTTCTATGAAAAGCAGTGCAGCCAAATTCATATATATCCCTCGTATTTTGAAAGGCTGTGATCACATGACCAATGCGCTGATGGCATTAAACAAGGAAGCAGTCCCGGGCACTTGTAAGGAGGTAGGTCAGGGGGGTGGATGGGTCACAAAAAAAACACTTTCGCCCGGGACTTTCCCCTGGAATTACTTTTTTGGATCCATGTGAACTTTGAGTCTTTTTAAGGTACTTCCTCACCATGTTACCTAGCCACAGTAACCTTTATTGCCTAAACCTGACCTCTGTAACTTTATATTAATTACATAACTTTACATAAAGGACATAACATCATTTGTGGGGCGCAAAAAATAAAAGAAAGTTTACTATTGTTTAAATTTCTTATATTTTCACATATCTTTCCTCTCTTGCAAAGAGCACCTGTAACATAAATAATTTCCCCTCAGGGATCAATAAAGTATTTCTGATTCTGATTCAAATCCGTAGGATAGCCTATATGAACTGTTATGCATGCATTCTTCATAGGATATCATATGAACCATACTATGACAAAACGTTGACCTATGTGTACTTGCAGGGGAAAAAAATTATTTATTGCTTTACTGATTATGTAGTAGTCATTCTTTAAAGGAATATGTCAACATTTTGGGAAATGCACTAAATTGATTTCTTGCAATATGAGCCTGGATTCTGCAGATGGCTTGCTTAGCTTAGCATAAGGCTTAGAAGCGTGGGAAACTACTGGCCTGGCTCTGTCCATAGGTTTAAAAAAAACCCAAAACATTAAAGGGGATCTGCGGACATTTTTGAAACATTGATATTATTCTTGGGGCTATGTAACATGATGTACAAAATACTGCAACCTGCTTATGTATGCACACTTTGTGAGTGTGTGCTGGGAAAACCTAGGTAGCAGCTTCATCACTGTAAATACTAACTGCCTGCTTGTGGCGATATGAATGGAGTGTAGACTTTCAACATTTGCAATATATCTACTTTGTGTTAACACTTAACACTTAGCCTATCAGACAGGGTAATTGTGTTATACCTTCCTGACTTCTTTTGTCTTCTAGTAATTATAATTTATGCAAGTGCTGTCCATTGGAAGGAATCCATGACAGGATTTCAGGGCATGTTGTGACAGCTAGCTAGTTGTAATGTCATAAATATCATTGGAATCGCAGAGTCCTTTTACCTTCTTGTTGTGGTTTTGTTGTTTGTTATTTTTTCATAAATTCTGATTTCATTTACCGTTCCAAGTCTTTATCAGTATAATTTCTCTATTATTCCCATCTGTGCTTGGTCATAAAAAAGCCAGCCGCTGCTTGGATTTGATGCTTGTCTGTTCCTGGTATTAAGGCACAGATGCAATTTGAAACTTCACATTTTATTTTAATTGGATTTCAGAAAATGCGCAATATTACATGTTTTACTTGGTACTTGGTCAAATGTTATAAGTTATTGCCCATTTTGTATTTTTTGACCGCTCTAAGCACCTATACCATCAAAATCCAAGCGGTGGTGGCTAACTTGACAGGTTTTCATTTTACTAACTAGCTAGCTACCAAACACAAAATATGCTTTGACTGAGTAGGATGACTGTCTCAACATGCCCTTAAATCCTGTCCAGGATTTCTCTGTTCCAATGGACAGCGCTTGCTTAAATCATAACTACTGGAAGATAAAAGAAGTCAGAAAGGCATGACACAGTTTCCATGTCTAATAACTGTTATTTTAAATGGATTCAGAAAGTAACAGTATGTTTATTTAATATTGTTGAAATTCTATACTCCATTCATATCACCACTGACAGGCAGTTACTGTTGAACCAAAGGATGTACTAAGACAACTGGATACAGCATTTAACACATGGCCCTGTTTATTCCTATGAAAGTTACCCAGTGGCACATGAAGCCAAAATGGTTTAAGTGCCACATAATGACCCGAATGATCTGAGGATGACTGCCACTACTTCTGCACTATGCGGCCCACAGAGCAAGCACACCAGAGACTTACAGAGGCTGAGTGCAGAGTGCGGCCAAGAAATTAACGCTGCCAGCCTAATGGCTAACTTCTGGTTTAGCGCTCCCCTACCTTGAATAGGGATAAAATTATTTTAATTTTGTGGCTCTTCAAGACTTTCCAATGCTATCAGACCGAATGGATCAAATCCTGATAGTGGAACGAGTTGTTTTGTGTGCGTTGTGATGCTCTGTTTTGCTACTATGAAAATGGGCTTCAACGCACAGCGAACTTCCTGGGAGCCTGGTTGAACCTGATGACAATGCTACTAAGTGGTATCCTGGAACACTCTCGCAATATGCACATACATGAGGAGGTGTCAGTATTTTTTCCATTATGATATACAGCCTCTAGAATAATACCAAAGTTTTAAAAATGACCACTTTTCCCCCTTAACTCATTATATTTGGCTTAATTTGGTATGTACAAAAAGGTTGAAAACGTAGAGTTATTGTTTTAGCAGGGTTATGTGCTTGTTGGCTGGGCATAGAGACTTCCTGGATGTTTGTTGTCAGTGTGAGATTATCTCAACAAGTTGTTTGGGACAGAGCCAGGGTAGCTGTTTCCTTGTTTACAGTTTTTATGCTAAGCTAAGATAATCATCCTCTGCCTCTAGTTCCTTATTGAGCGGATATGAGAGGGATATCAATACTGTCATCCAAGTCTTGGCAAGAAAGCAAACAAAAAATGTCAAACTATTTGTTTATGACAAGGATTTTGCATTATGAAGTAGAGAAAGTAGAGTAAAAATTCTGACCTTGGCAAACAGTGCCCCCTTAGCTGCCAGTGCGTCCTCCCCCTTCCCGTTGGGGTAGCTCTCGAACCGTGCATCCAGGATAGGGTAGCGGCTGGCCAGCAGTAGCCCACTGTTCAGGAATTTAAACCTTGAGCAGCAGCCTTTCCAGCCATACTGGCCAACATCACTTAACACATAGGGGAAGTAGCGATGCAACTGTCGCCGCAGTCTAGTCGTCGATCCGTGGTCAAAAACTTCTTGCAGAGCCAGGAAATCCAAGTTGGCAGGGAAAAAGGCAGAGATCTCGTGGTCAAATGTTTCATCTCCATGGCGGCGTTTTCGTCCAGGCCGTTTAAAGACTGATGTTCGAGGGACGTGAGAGAGAGTGTTATTGGAGGATATCCCTACACCACCGTCACCACCATGGTAACGAGTGAGGGATTCCCTGGAGGCAGTCATGCTTCCTGTGTCTCCCCCTGCCAGCTCCCCAGGCCGATGGTTCCCTGTTTCGGCCTCCTCTTCCTGTGGGTCTGGCTCTGGGGCGCTGATGCTGATTTGAACCCCTGAGGTGTGAAGTGGACAGTCTGGGGATGTTTTTGTCTGGGTCCCTTCTCCATGCATGGGACAGTCATAATAGCCTTGGCCACTCTGAGCCCCCGTGGAATGCATGGGGCAGTCTGGAGCCTCTCCTGAGCTGTGAACAGGACAGTCTGAGCTGCTGTTAGTCCCTGCAGGGTGAAGGGGGCAGTCTGCTGTTGCGTCTGCTCCATTTGGGTGGAGGGGGCAGTCAGAGGAGCCCTGGTCTCCTGCAGAGGGGTGAACAGGGCAGTCGGTGGCACCTGAGGGGTGAATTGGGCACTCGGTGAGGGGTTCAGTTTCAGTGTCAGCTGGGCCGTTGGTGGTGTGTGTTAGGTCTGGACGCTGGTCCAGAGAGGAGGTACGACGGAAACCTGTGGCAAGGCTGCTGAAGGATGCCGCACTGATGAATGAAACAGGAAGAAAGTAAATAAAGTATTCAAAATGTATTTAATTGATATACACAACAATAACAAGGTTTTTACTACTGCTGGATAAAGCTGATTAAAGCCCAAGAGCAAGATCTCTTTACCTTATGGAAGTGTTGGTAGGTGAGTCAATGTAGATTTTAATCTGAGGCCGACTTGCGCCATTGCGGATCCTCTTCCCCACCTCCCTGGCTCTCCTGTGTGTGTCTGACAGGTTGTTGAACCTGGCCAGGGAGTCTGGCAGCAGACATACGTTGGCACTGCAGAAGCAGAAACTTCTGCCCTGTGGCCTCCATTCCCCAACGCCAAAAGCCCCTGGTCCAGCCTGGCCCTGCTCAGCCTGGTGTTTGTCTGGTCTGCACAAGGGAAGCAATAAAATACTATATCAACTCAAACAGAAGCTCTGAAGTACCCAAATAGCCCCCCATAATGTATGAAAAGAATAATTTGGTTTAAGGAAATGCATTTATTCACTTTATGATTGAGAAGATAAATACCACTCTCATGTCTGTATGCTAAATATGAAGGTAAAGCAAGCAGTCAATTAGCTTAGAAACAGTTCAGTGGCACACACAGTGAGAAAATAAATTGAAGGAGAGTAATTATATGCACATCACGTAGGTGCAAGGTTATCAAATATCAGCTTCAGACTTATTCCATGCTATAGAATTTTAATAAAGACAGCGTTTTCATCCTACTTGTGTGCAGGCATTTCCTTATCTTCATATGAGAAAATAAAAAAAAGAAACAAAAACTCGAATCGAGTAAATGATTTCTGTTGACCTGTACTGGTGATCAGTAATAACAACAAAACTTTGTTTTATACAAGTCCTCTGTACCCCAATCTCCTTGATCTACAGTAGCCTGCATGTGACATAAACATGGCAGTATAAAACCCTGCCTTGTGCATGAAAAGGTGTATGCTTGACCCTTAAATGGGATCAAGTACAACAATTTACTTACTGACTTAAATCACTGACTGAGCAAGTTATATGTATTTACATGATAACGAAAGGTAATTTTATAATTAAAACACATTTCAACATGCCATCTGCCACCCTCCACAGATATTGTGAAATAGTGCAGTTTATCTGACAAGGGTCAGGTGTGAGATACTCAGAACTCAGTGCCGTTAATGTTAAAGTGTGAGGCGGACTGCAGCCTGATTAGCTAAGTCAGAATACCTCAGTACAAAAAGAGCAAGAAAATGACAGGAGCAGAGAGGTGATGGACAAATACCTGATGAAAAAATGTGATGAAGTAGCAGGTATGACAGGCAGAGCTTAAGGTGAGAAGTGAGGCGTAGTACAAAGTTACAGTGAAGTCATTAAACTAGAGGACATAAGGCGGTCACAGGTTGCCACTCCGAAATATCGCCATTCCGAAGGGTTGCCACTGCGAAATGTCGCCATTCCGACGGTTCGCCATCCTGAAGGTCCGCCATTCCGATTTCCAAAGGGTCCGCCATTCCGAATTCTGGTCCCTAAGTCCTGACAGTAAGCTATGGCGAGCCTGTAGAAGCCGTATTTCCCATGCATGTCAGCGATTTTCACCAGTGATGCACGCGAGTAATTCAGGCTGACATTACTACCTGTTTTTCAGCTAACTCCTCTGGTAATTTTATTAAAAAGCATAGCATATATGCCCACAGTAAGTTATTATTATTATTATTATTATTATTATTATTATTGGCTCTTATAAGAGTGGGCTACAATGAGTACCGGTCCATCAAATCACAGCATCCGCGGTAAGAGGACACGGAATTGTGTGCGCTTTTACGCATGGGTCTGGGCGATCATGGATATTTGATGTGGGAAAGATGTAGCCAATGTATTACTTGTTTTTAAGTGGCACTAAGATACGTGGCTCATCTGTCCGTCCGTCTGTAGCATGAGTCATGTGCGCCACTTCACCACCAAGGTGTGATTTTTCAGCAAACTCCAGGGACGCACGCGAGTAATTCTGGCGAACTCCAAGGTCCTCTGGTAATTTTTAAGCTCATATCACAGTCATTATAAAGGCTACATACACATGCTATATCTTGTTTTTTTTCGGGACAATCTGGGCTAACCAGATTTGCCATTATTACATGTCCTTCTATGTGCCTGTATTTTATATTAATTTTCATATCAATGAAATGAATGTCCCCCTCAATGTATATGGTGACTACTGCCCTGTCATGCATGCATAATTAGGCTACAGTTGTCTGGGTGCACAATGGTGAAGTGCGCTGGTCTTGTCATACAAAGTTTGAGTGTCAACTGGACCGGACTACAAATGTGGATAGACAGGGAGAAACACACGCAAGCCTGAGACGTGGTAAGATACGATATTCCTCACTATATGAAGTGACTGATAACAAGATCTCTATAATGGGTTGTAAAGAAATTCGTCAGGTTTTTATTTTGTAGACAATTTATCTGTATTTATAGCATGATGGGATGACAGCACAATGATGTGTGTGGTATCATTGGGAAGCTCTAGTCCTGCACTTTCATGTGATACGCGTGGCATTTCTGTGCGAGCCTGCATTTGCGAGTAATCCATCCAAGAGTAATGTGTGTGCAGAGCTGTATGAAAGTTCTGTTATACATCATTTTAGAGTAATTTTATCTTTGTTTTTCGCTGTGAAAACATTGCACTACCGACAAGTGCTTGGTTTTGTCGGAAAGGTACGGTTCCGCTGTTTCATGTGATATGCGTGGTTTCTCACTATGACACACGTCAGAAAGAAGAAGAAAGAAGAAAATCAATAGAGAAGAACAGGTGTGAATTTGGACGCACTATGTGTCGTTCGGGCCCATAGGGTTAAAAAGCATATCATATAGGCCACAGTAAGTTCTTCTTCTCCTTCTTCTTCTTCTTATTAGGATATTATTATTATTAGTAATAATATTAGTAATAATGTATAAGGACCCCCCTGCTGGGTGTGGATGAAGGGCCTACCTTTGAAAATGTTGTCCGCCTGCCCGTAATCCCTAATGGCTGGCCTGCCCATAACATTTAATAAGCCCTTATTGCACTGTAGGCCACTAAGAAATCTGAGTAACAGGGAGAGAGTGCTGCTGTTTCACATCAAACAGAGCTGAATTCAGTACTTCAAAGTTTGTGGTAACGGTGGGTAGCCACTTTTGACTGATTGAGCCTGGCAGCTAGAAGCCAGACCAATGAGCAAAATTATTAATGGTAGACAAGTAGAAAAGTATACTCAGGAGAAATCTGCCAAGTGACCAAGTGGCTGCCCAGGCAGATCGACGCCACTTTTCTATATATCAGCAGGTGTAATGCTGTGCATTTCAGAAGCATCCAAGACTCTTTCTTTAACAGAGTCACGGAATGTTGCACAGAGCAGAGCGAATTTATGTACTAATGTGCACTGTATGTGAAATATGGATACAATCTAATTATGAGGAAAACACAAATCTTTGATCAATGTCAGACATAACAGGACTTCAAGGGTAGCACAAAACAGACAAAAAATTAACCACTTAACTGGCTACTGATAGAAATATCAAGGAAAATATCCAAATCAACAAAATCTGCAAGTCTACAAAATCAGGTAGGTAAACGTTATGCTCCTGAAACATTCCCTGCGTGGTAGGACCATTCAGTAAACAGAACCATGTGGCAGCTATGGCAGCTGGTACATGTAACTTTGCCTGGTGGAATTGTCCCTTCAGGGTCGCTTACAGTTAAGATGGCGGCAAATATCACAAAAATGGGGATTTATTAATCTCTTATTGTGCCTTACTTTAGCTGATGATAAAATATCAGGTATGGAATTAATGAGAAGGAGGAGCTGGCGCAGCAGTGGACACGACAGAGGTCACAGCGAGAGATGAGAGACTTTGTTTTTTGATTGGGGGTACCGACTACATAGTCAGTTTCACTCACTTTATCCCTCACACCATACAGCCCACAAAGCTTTGCCTGAAGAGCGGCACCAGGGATTGGAAAGAGAGTCAAAACTTGTCACCAACTTTGAACTCTCTTTTTACAGATTTTTTTGTCAAATTTCTTTTTATCTTTTTCTGTGATGCAACAAGGGCGCAGTGAGGGCTGTCACACGCTTTATGCAAGCACTCCCTAAAGGAGCTCACACAGTCTAACACATTTGGAGCACATTTAGAGCTAACAGTGTCTGAAATATATTTTTCTTTGACCAACTGCAAAGACCGTGCATGGTGTCCCCAAACACAAGCTCTGCTGGACTGAAACCTGTGGATTCCTGCATGCTTTCTCGCGCAGCCAAGAGGAGGAGTAGTAACCCTTCATCCCACTGTTTCCCTGACACGAGACAGTATTTCTTCAGCATGGATTTTAATGTTTGATGGAAGCGTTCGAGTGCGCCCTGACACTGAGGATGAAATGCACTGGATTTTTGGTGTGTTATGGACAGGAAGACAATGACCTGGGCAAATAATTTGACATGAAATTGGAATCTTGGTCTGTCTGGATGGATATTGGCAACCAAAACTGGAGAAAAACTGTACAAGGGCTTTCACTGGAATTGGCTGCAGCAGAGCAGGGGGAATCACCTGGTTCAGTTTACCGCTAACCTCACAGACATGGCAGGAGTGACAGTACTTTTTCACATCGGCTCATAAACCTGGCCAAAAGAAGTAACACAAGATGCAATGGTAAGTCTTTTAATTCCTAAATGAAATTGACTTAAAAAGGACTTGAGGGCGAAATCTCTGGGGCACAACCACCTGTTGGAATGAGTTCCAGCCAAGATCCCCCAACAATTTTCTCTGGGAAGACATCTCTTGAATTCTTACGGCAACATCAACTCCCATAGTTGTGAAAAATGTATCGTTTTGCTTGCTGAGCACCATTTGTTGAATAAGACAGTTTTATCTCTCGCAAACTCGACATAGGTTTGGTTGGCAGATTTTTCACAGGATCTGAAGTTTTGGTGATATGCCTCAGGAACCAACTCATATGCAAGGATCACAGTGGCTTTAACATCATAATCCAAACTCTCTTCAATAGACAAACTTGTGCACACTTCCTGGGCTTTTCCCACTAATTTACACTGCAGGAGCAACCTCCACACATCTTTTGGCCACCCCAAAGTTGCAGCAATGTGCTCAAAAGCGTTCAAGTAAGAGTCGACTTCACTGTCCCTAAAAGGAGGAACTAAGGCAATATGCCTACTAATGTCGAATTGTTCAGCAGAAGCAGTGGAGGAATGCGTCCTAACAGGGGTAGGTGTGCTTTGTACTGAGGCTTTTTCAAGCTCTAGGGCTCTTATTTTGAGGTGCATGAGCTCAACCTCACAGGACCTAGTTTGTAGGTCCAACTCTTTAAGACCGAGAGCCAGCTTAAGGTCCTCAGTATCTACCCCAGCCTGCAACAGACTTACTGGGTCTACGCTCTGAGTTAGAGTGACAGTGGGAGCGGACTGGCTGCTAAGGGCATGGCAGCCTCCGCCTCCACTCTCACATGCACACCCTTAGGGGCATGACCAGTCTGAGGCCGAAATTTTTCACCAACTTCTCTGATAACAAACTTTTATCTGTGCTTTGCGTATGTTCAGTGGGACAGAGACATCAAAGGATTTTGCAATCAAAAAACAAATCAGTCCAATTTAGAGAGGGGACATAGAATGATAGGGACACAGGCATTTGAAAGACCCCACCAAAACCACCCCAAACCATACATACACTCTCATTCTGTGGGAAACACTGTGGTGTGTCTGGGTGCCACGGCAGATACATAGGTAACAAAATAAGCAAGACATCAAAATTTTCAGAAAACTAGCACTAGCAACACCGGGAGCATGAGATGGAGCTACTAAATCTGTCATTGGTTAAATGACATGAAAACAAGAAGTAGAAAAAAAAAAAAAAACTTCACCAAGGTCCACACTAACCTGCAATAGGTGTACAAGTAGGGCTGGCGGACCACCTGCAGGGGAGCCCAGATGATGAAGCCCAGCAGTGCAAAGGGCAAGGAGGCAAGGAGGAGGAGCAGGTAAAGGGGTGCGGAGATCAGGACACACAAGGTAAGGAAGGAGCAGGGGTCCTGGGAGCGTTGGTGCTTTTCCAATGAGGTGGCCACGCAGGAGGCCAGGAGCCGGTCCAGGAGCCAGTAGCAGGGAAACACCAGGCTCCACGACAAGCCATCCAAGAAGTGCAGACAGGCACTGGAGTAAGGGGTGGTGTGGAGGACCATCTCTTTTCTTTTGCTATCTTTCTTCTTCTCTGTCACTTTCTCCTCACCTCACGCTACACCCACATACACTACTTAAACAAGCAAACACAAATCTGTTCTAAAGATTACATAAACAGAAATAAATCAAAAATAAATCAGACTCAAATATAGACCCTCCCCCCTCCTTGGAGAGAGGTACACTACATGTTTTGGATGATTTTTATCTTCACAGACAACCTTGTCTCAGTATCACTACCCCTCCCTCAGCAATCACACCCTCTACAGGGGGGGGCAAGGAGCGCAGTCTGCAGGTAGGGGGTTTCCATGATGAGACGGTTTCCGTTGATGATGGATCTATGATTGCAAGGACTCCAACGACCTTGGGAGGGGGCAGCCATTAAACACCCTCAGGACCTGAAGAAAGTGAGCTGATCGATAGATCGGGGGGTGGGGGGGGGTTAGGGTTAGGGGTTAGGGTTAGGGTTGGGGGGGGGGGGGGGGGGGGGGGGGGGGGGGGGGGGGGGGGGGGGGGGGGGGGGGGGGGGGGGGGGGGGGCGGGGGGGGGGGGGGGGGGGTGGGGGGGGGGGTGAAGGAAAAGAGGCAGAAGATCAGTGACTGACTTGCTCTGATGTACTGTAAGCATGCTGGGAGCAAAATGAACCTTGTACATTTCCTAATGTTTGTCAACGTATAATGCATATACTGTGTGTTCCAAACAGGCAAAAACAAGACAATTCTGTTCATTGAGCGTTTTGGTATTTTTGAAGGCATCCAGCGCTGCTATGGCCTATTAAACCTTTATCAATCAATCAATTTTATTTATAAAGCCCAATATCACAAATCACAATTTGCCTCACAGGGCTTTACAGCATACGACATCCCTCATCCTTAGGACCCTCGCAGCGGATAAGGAAAAACTCCCCCAAAAAAACCCTTTAACGGGGGAAAAAAAAAACGGTAGAAACCTCAGTAAAAGCAACTGAGGAGGGATCCCTCTTCCAGGACGGACAGACGTGCAATAGATGTCGTACAGAGCAGATCAACATAATAAATTAACAGTAATTCCGTAAGTCTGTCCTTTAAAGTATTAAATCAGATCTTATCCAAATAAGGAGAAATAAAGTACATTACTCTGAATCTATTGAGTTAAACAAGCACTGATATTCACTGGCAATTAGTCCACTAAGATACAATGTATGCCTAAATACTGAATTAAATAGCTAAATCTACCTACTGACTTTTTCACCCAAAAAATTGAGTCTTTTTAAATTTTCACGCTGGTTAAGTTTTCTGCTCTTTGGTCTTCAGGTATAAGAACAACAGACTGAAATATGTTCACATAATAATTTTCTGTGGCCACAGCTTTAAATTAAAACTGGAAGGAGTACCAAACAACTGTCCCGTAACCACACTTTGACTTTACTGGAAAGAGAATTTAATTAATTTTATAGATTTATTTTATGAAGCATTTGCATGACTGTGTTGTTGACGATGCAGTGGCTTGCATGGCTCCATACATGAGGGGAGTACCAGCTTTTAATTTTGGAAATATTATAGTTATAGCAGCAAGCAGCTTTGCAGCAGTGCTGCAGTAGCTGTCTGTGTAAACACTGCACATGCACAAGCCACAGCAGATCATCAAGGTGCTCACAGTCCAGGGTGGCCTGGGCACACGCACTGCACACTTAGGCAGTGTGGTCCAGGTGTTGTGGAACCACTTGTACTTTTTTTTTTTGATGGCTGTCATAACTGATTAGAGCAGCCACACTGTCCACGTGAGCAATACTGCTCTGACATGGCTCAGCTGCTGCTTAGCTGTCGCACATCTAGAGAATAGCAGTCCTGTCTATTTTTTCTGCATCACGTGCACAGTTTTCTGCAAAAATAGACAGTAAAAATTGTGTTTTGATAATCATATTGGCATGGCCGGCTGTGGCTCAGAGGTAGAACGGGTCATCCACCAATCGGAAGATCAGCAATTTGATCCCCGGCTCCTCCTGTCTGCATGTCTAAGTATCCTTGAGCAAGATACTGAACCCCAAATTGCTCCCGATGATGGTGTGTGAGTGAATTAAAAACTGAGTAGCAGGTGGCACCTTGTATGGTAGTCTTGGCCACCAGTGTATGAATGTGTGTGAATGGGTGAATGTAACTCGTAGTGTAAAAAGTGCTTTGAGTAGTCGGATGACTAGAAAGGCGCAATGCAAGTGCAGGTCCATTTACCATTTACCATTAGGCCTATACCACCTTTCACTACATTTTCAATGTCTACATCTGTCACAGACATGAACAAATATAAATATTTCTTTTAAACTCAACACTGCCTCTCCCTGTTTCAAATTAAAGGTCCCCTGACAACGTGTCTATGGACAGGATCCCTTCATTTGTTAACACAAGGCTTTTTATTGTGAAATATTTGCAGGGCCATGTTCTTGACAATGCAGTGACTTGCACGGCTCCGTGAATGAGTGGAGGACTGTCTTTTAATTGTGGAAATACTGCAGCAACAATGCTGAATTATATTAACTGAATGTTGTAATACAAAGCCTGTACTCCAATTGGTGCAGTTAATAAATAATTGTAAATAAACAGCTAGATTAATGTAGTGTTATAAACTAGAATATTAATATTGATGTTTAGCTAATTTAAGTACATGTACTAATAAAAGGTGTTCCACTTCAGACACATTTGAATAATTTAGGGTCCCTTTTTTAAGGGGAAATTGGCTGTGGACATATATCTACAAGTAATAAGAGAACAAGTGATCACAAAAGAAAGACAATCAAAATAGTATAGCCCAAACACTGGCCTACTGTTTAAAATATCTTATTTTCTTTGGTCAACAGATGAATAAACTAGGAATTACAGTCCTGTAATAACTGTACTGAAACCCAACTGTAGTACCAACACAAGCCACAGAGGGAAGAATCAATTCCACCATCATGAATAAATAATGAATTGATTAATTCATCCATGTCAACAAGCAGGGGTTTATAAGGATACACAGAGATTGTTGACCTCAGTGTAATTTTATATACCCCACAGGGACCACCAGAACAACAGCACAATAACCTCAAACATTTGAGCTCACACAGTGTCACATCTAAAGCAAGGCAATATCACCCCATAATCCATTAAACTGCACAGCTAAAACTCACCATCTGTTGTACATGTTATGCCAACACGTAACATGCACATTCCATATTAAAAAAGCAGTGGGCAAAGGTAATGTCTGCAACTGTTAAGCAACTGCATTCACATAACAACTTTCAGATAATATGATTGTAATGTAGTCTTCATCTAACTGACTCAAAAACGCTGTAAAACCTGTTAAGTCAAAAGAGCAAGATAATAATGTTATACTTAATGACATTATTCCAATCAAAAAAGAGAAATGCCACATGGTCTGTCATATTCTCATTTTGCATCCAGGGTATGTTTGTTTATCTTTTCAATACTTTAGAACACTTTTCAACAAACAGTATATGATTGTCATAACAGTCTACTTTTTCCTCCCAAGTTGAGACTCTTTTGTTAGACAGGCTCATCTTCTGAATAGCACTTATACAGTGATCAGCCAAAACATTAAGACAGCTGATGGGTGAATAAAATAACATTGATCATCTTGCTACAATGCAATGTTCTGCCAGGAAACCTTTGGTCCTGACTTTCCCCCCAACAGGACAATACACCATGCCACACCAAACAAACTGCTCAGGGATGGTCCAAGGAACATGACAAAAAGCTCAATGCGTCAACTCCCTCTGAATTCCACAGATCCCATTCTGATTGAGAATCCATGGGACATGCCAGTATAGGACTCAAAGGACACCCCTAGAGGTTCTGTGTCCATCCCTTGACATGTCAGAGCCAAGTTCAATCCAAGATGGCTCCAGCATAGATCAGGGGTACCCCTGGGGTACCGGCACACCCCATGAATATTTGATCAGATTGGAATGTGAGGAATTTTGAGGCCAGGTCTATGTCTTTAGCTCTTTGTCACATTCCTCTGGCCATTCTTAAACATTTCTTGCAGTGTGGCATGGTGCATTGTCCTACTGAGGAAGCCACATGCCACCAGGCAGTGCCTTTGCCTTGAGAGGGTTTACCTTGTCTGCAGTGGTGTTTGGGTGAGTGAAGCTCATCAAGTGGCAGCCACATGAATACCAGGACACAAGATTTTCTATCAGGACATTGCGTTATAACAAAATGATCAGTGTCCATCATTCACTTCACCTGTCAGTAGTTTGAATGTTTTGGCTTGTTGTTTGTTTACATCAGAATAAAAATACTGACTTTGTCCTCCATCCTGGTAATCTTCTTCTGTATAGTTAAAACCTTTGTGTTGATTCATGTCAAGACAGAACACTGACTTGCTGCCTTCTATTGATTGACTTTTTATTGTGCTGGCTGACTGGGTGACAAATGAAGAGATGACCTGTTGACTTACCAGTAAGCCTAACTGTCATAATTGCTGTGCTTCTAGCTGATCGTCTGACTGACGGACTGTTTAACTGTCTGAAAGAGTTAATGACTCGAGGTTTCATTGTCCATTAGATTAGCAGGTTGACTTTTAAATTCAACCTCCTGGCACTGTGTAATGTTGTTCTTAGGACTCAGGTTACTGTACTCTGTAGCTACTGAATATAAATGTGATGGTATGGTTGAAGCACACTTTAACCCACTTAATGAAACTCTGGTATCCATTTAGCATAAGCAGAGGACTGAGTAGGCAGAAAGAAAGTCAGTGACTTAATGAGAGCAAGTAAACAGAAGGCTAATCCCCCTACATAAACTCTAATCCAGACAAATTCCTCTTTTGCACTGTTGACTGGCAGAAAGATCGAACTTGCAGCCTTTCCTCGTTAAATTATCTGTGAGTGGGATCAACTGGGCTTGAACTCTTGGCAAGAAAGCAAAAAGTGTATTTGTGGAGCTATTCTTTTAAGATATTCGTGCCTGCCTGTGTGTGTGTGTGTGTGTGTGTGTGTGTGTGTGTGTGAAACAAACATTTTCAATGTCAAAAATTAACTTTCACAGTGTGAAAGTCTTAACAGCTGTTGTGTAGTTATTTTATGTTGTGGGTCAGAAAGGTACCTTCAGGCCTTAATTTGAGCTAAACTTACCCTGTGATTTTTTTTTTTTTGGATCCAATGAAACTACTGTCATAGTTACTTCAAACTTAGTTATAGCATTCACTGATTTTTTTGGCCACTTGGGGGCAGCAGACCACGAACAAAACACATCACTGGCATTTTAGCACCTTACAAAGATGTATTCATGAATGTGTTATCAAATAGTTGTCTATTTACATACAGAGCAACATTGGCATTCTAAGCATAGCATTCTTAACTGACAATGAGAAACCATTTTAGCTAAAAACATATTCTCACTCCGACCTCATCACATATCGACATTTGGTCATGGA